AATTTATTATCATTTGTATGTATTAGCGCTTGGGCCCTCCCCAGCAGCAGCAGCAGCAGCAGCCGTCGGCGCCGCCGCCGCCGCCGCTGCCGCCGCTGCCGCCCCCACATATCAATCGCGTGTGTAGCTAGTATACACAATACGGTATTGCCCGCGGTAACAGTGGCTGTAGCTCTAGCGGTAGAGCGTCGGCCTGCGGATCCGGAGGACGCGCGTTCGATCCCCCGATCCGTCCGTTTTTTTCAGATAAATCTAAAAATTTTTAACACACGCGCACACACACACAATAAAAAAAAATCAAAACGCGTAACACAGAACGCGCGCGCAGTGCATAGGAATCAAATCAGTGGGAGAGGGGGAAGTGCTGCAGAGAACGCACGCCACATCAGATCAAGACACATCAGATCAAGCCACATCAGATCAACTCAGTAGGGGAGGGGGAGTGTAGAACGCACCGGTATAACTCAGTGGAGGATGGGGAGGTGATGCGCGCATAGGAATCAAATCAGTGGGAGAGGGGAAGTGCTGCAGAGAACGCACGCTACATCAAATCAAGCCACATCAGATCAACTTAGTAGGGGTGGGGGAGTGCGTAGAACGCACCGGTATAACTCAGTAGGAGGGGGGGGAGTCGCCAGCGCACGGGGCGATCGGGGGGGGGGGGGAGGTGAGCTATCTTTAATGCTGATTGTTAATTTTCTTTTAAGGGGCTGTATAGTTTTTTTCCTTGTTACGGAATTTTTCTTCAGGAACATATCTTGCAGGTTGACATAGTGATACACTAGAGATTCCATGGTGAATGTTTGATCTATGTTTAGTGGATTTTTTTCATTTATAAACTTGTTTTTATTTATTATTTGTAATAGTCGTATTTGTAGAGTTTGTATATATTTGAGTCTTCCAATGTATGCTCCACCCCATGCTATAATACCGTATGTTGTTATGCTATGGAAAAGTGCATTGTAAATCATACGTAGATTATCTGTGCTCATTATCCTAGATAATTTGTAGAAAATATAAGTTAGATATTTTAGTCTATTGTATAGCATGTTTGTATGCATGTCCCATCTCATATGGCTATCGAAATGCACTCCAAGGTACTTAGTGTTATCAACTTTTCGAATGGGTGCACCCTTTATATTTATATGTAGATATGTAGAGTTGCTATTGCAGTTATTTCCAAATGCCATTTATACTGTTTTGTCAATGTTTAGTGACAGTTTATTCAATGCTAGCCAAAATGGATATTTTGTTTAAGTGGAAGTTCATATTTCTTTCGACTTCATGCCATGTTTCGCCTTTCACGATAGCTACCGTGTCATCAGCAAAAGCCAACACATTATCATTTGGTAGCAATTGTAACATATCATTTATATAGATTATGAAAAATAAAGGTCCCAATATTGTACCTTGTGGTACGCCAATGTTGACTTGTTGATATTGACTATATTCACCATTAATTTTAACTCTTTGTTTCCTATTACTTAGATAGCTTTTCATAAGTTCATACGCACTTCCTCTAATTCCATATCTATAGAGTTTTTTGAGTAGAATTTTGTGGTCCACAGTGTCAAAAGCTTTCGCTAGATCCAAGAAAGTTGCTGCTATTGATTTACTTTTATCTAGTTGATGGTATATTGAGTTAGTTAGGTAGTATAGGGCATTTTTGGTGCTAAGACCTTTTCTAAAACCAAATCGTTTATTAGAAAATAAATTATGTTTGTTGAAAAAACTTGTAATCCTGATTTGTATTAATTTTTCAAAAATGTTGGCGATATTTGATATTAAAGATATAGGTCTATAGTTTGTTGGTAGATACTTCTCTTTAGTTTTGTGGATAGGAATAATTTCAGCACTTTTTAATTCGTCAGGCCATATTTCTTTTTGTAAGCATAAATTAAAGATATAGGTCAACGGATCACTTATGTGGTTTATTATCATCTTTAGTACCTGAGTGTTGATGCCGTCAGATCCTCCATTTTTGTTGCCCATTTTTCTTATTGTTTGTTGAACTTCTATTCTATTTGTTAAATGTAGAAAAATACTGTTGTTGTTCATAGATGGTAGAGTAGTGTTATTATTTATTGGTTGTTTAATATTATTACATATCTGTTTACCTACTGTACTGAAAAATGTATTCATTTGTTCTGCAATGTCGTTTGAGTTTGTAATTTTATTATTACCTATTAATAGATGATTTATGTTATTGTTTTTTTTGGTTTTCTTCCCAATTTTGTTGTTGATTATTTTCCATAGTTTTCGTGGATTGTGTTGATTTGTTTTGATTTGATTTTTTTCATATTTTTCTTTAGCTAGATCTATGGTCTTTTTTAAAGTTTCTACATAGTTTTTATATTTTTCTCTTTTTGTTGCATTATTGGGATCTTTTTTCCAATTATTATAAAGTTTTTCTTTGTGTGCACATGATATCATTATTGCTTTAGTTATCCAATTACTTCTTGGGTTCATTTTATTCTTATTGTGTTTATTGTTATTAGATGATGCCGTAATACATGTTTGAATTTTTTCTATTAATTTGTTCGTAGCTAGATTAAGGTCTTTTATAATTTGTATGTCAGTCCAAACAGTTCTTTTGGCTTTATTTTTTAGTTTAAAATAGTTTATTATTTTGAAATTGGTTTTTTGTGTACATTTATAATTATTCCTTAAACTCATCATTATTGGGTAGTGATCATTGAAGGGTACGTTGAGGACGTAAGTTTTATATTTGACTTTTTCTAGCCTAACATAGAAATTATCTATACATGTACCTTTGTTAATATCAATATTGGATGGTCTTGTTATGGTATGTAGTCCAGGGCAATATCCATTTTCTAGCAGTACTTGTAAAAAATCTTGATCTAGTATTTCTTCTCTCAATATATCAAAATTAAAGTCTCCCATTAAAATATTATTTTTATATTTTTTGTTTATTTTCAATAATTCTTTGAGATTCAATAGGAATTCAGATTTAGATAAATCATGAGATCTGTAAATTGCAGACAGCACCAAATTTTTGTTGTTTTCTAGTGTAATATTAGAGTTAATTATTTTTAATTTATCTATTTCAAGAATTTCTGTAATTTCGGTGATTTCTTCTTTCATATACAAAACAACTCCATCTGATTTGTTTATTTTACTTTCATTGTAATATATTTTATAGTCTGGAATATTGAACATTTCATGATTGTCTAAATTCCATGTTTCTGTGCATACCATTACACATGGTTTTTTTTCGAGGTTCTTCAGAAATACTAGTAATTTATTGTAATTTTTTTTTAGGCTTCTGATGTTTATACATAGAATGATATTATTTTCTTTACATATATATTTGTTTAGATCATCAATATTATCTGTTTTATGTTCATTTTCAAATATAATATCATATAAGCTGTTATCCATATTGTAATATTGCAGAAAACTATTTAGTATTCCTGGTTTTATTACCTGTTGGACTTGGAGTAAATAATGATGATAACGATAAACTATTATTTATTCTCGGACGGTTATATATCTTGCGGGTGTTTGTTTCAAAGTTTATTCTACCAAAATATCTTTGATGAGTTGGTTGAATTGGATAATCTGTCATTTCAATATACCTTTTTATTTTCATGTTTAAAACTTCACACATTTCGCTGTCGATTGCACTATGGTTTACGTTGTAGTTTTTACTATATGTTTCATTGTGGAAAATGCAGTTTGGACATTGGAGTATGCTGCTACTACACATTTTTGCTTGGTGCTTGCCAGCACATTTATAACACGTTGGCTCTTTTTTTGCTTTTTCACACTTTCCGCCGCCGTGGTCAAAACCTGAGCAGTTGTAACACGGGTATTTGTTGATGACGTCAAAGACTCTGCAGTTTTGACATCCAATAAATAATTTGTTACTATTGTTTTTTATATGTTTATATAGAATAGATGGAACTTCTATTATTGCAGTTACTGTTTTATTTTTTTCATTTGTAAATACATGATTTACTTTGCATTTTTCTTCGTATTGACTAAAATTTCTTGCATTAATATCAGTTTCTATATCTTTTACATTTATTGTGAAAGCTTTAGAAATTCCTACTACTTTAACTATCGGTTTACGTATTTCTTCTTTTAGAACAGTAAGTGCCGGTAGTTTTTTTTGTAAAGTTTTTTCTAACACTGTGACATTTTCTTCGGTCATGCAGTTGATAATTATTGTGTCAGTATTTTTAACTTGTACACTTTTTGTTTGTATGTTTTTGTCTTTAATTAAGTAATGTGCTACTTGATTTTCTAAGTTTATGTTATCATTACTCTTTTTCTTTATTATTAATCTTGGTATTCTTTTGGATTTAGGTTTTGGTAGTGCAATTGTTTCAGCATATGTTTTTCTCATAATGTTAGTATTTGCATTTTTATTTTGTTTTTCTTTAATTAGTTCATTGAGCAATTCATTTTTTTCTTTTGTTTCTTTGTACAGTTCATTCAATAGGTTATTTTCGGCTTTTAATTGTTGTAATTCATCCAAATCATTGATCTGTGTTACATCCATATGATCATCTTTTTCATTTAAAATTTGCTTTTCATGCACAAGCTCATTTAATATTTCCTGTTTTATTTGTTCTCTACTTACAAGTTTGAATTGTGTTATGAAAGCACTAGCTTGTTCATTTAAGTCCCCATATGGCAAGTTTGATGTTAGTGCAAAATTTGGATTTAGTTACCTATTCTGCTATTATACGACCACCATATATTTTCAATATCTAAGAACATAACAAACACTTTATTTTTTTAGGTTATTCATTGTTAACGTAGCGCCTTGTTACTGATCATATACAAATGGATAATTTTATAAAACAATTCATTAATATTTTTGGATAATCGAATGGTCTTATGGATCCATTCGATGAAAAGATAAACAATAGTTTATTAACGAAACAAAATCAAATTTATATCATAAGATTTACAAATAGTATTAAATTATGCACAGAATAATTTATATCATATATATCTATTGCTTCAAGGTTACTTCGGCAAATATTTGAATAAATATGATGGATCATACGTGCCTCCAGGCTGGCGAGAGTGGGGTGGCCTTATAATGAACTCACGTTATTATAACTACAGTATCAACATAAATGGCAAAAAAATCAAACATGGTTTTGACTACAATAAAGATTACTATCCCGATTTGATAGCTAACGATAGTGTGGCTTTTATCAGACAGAGTAAACACATACTTTCACAAAAGCCAATGATGCTTGTTGCCAGTTTTCCGGCACCACATGGCCCTGAAGATTCTGCCCCTCAATATTCTGACTTATTTTTCAATGTTACTACACATCAGTAAGTATATTATCATTTTGAATAATAATGTGACGTTGCTATTTACGACCAAACATGCTATATTTATTTTATACAGTACCATTGATAAATTTTCGAAAATTTTGTGGAAGATAAGCCATTTTTTAAACAAGAATATCTCCGATTCTATTGAACGTAGAATAAAAATAAGAACTGCAAATGTAAATAGAGTAGAAATACTAACTTTTTATAGGAAGTGATAAATTTTTAAGTAATTTTTTCTATGTTTTATAGCACTTTAAAAAGTATCAATATTCCAAAGTTTATTTAATTTCTTCAATCACTTGTATTTTTGAAAATATCGATAAATAAAAATCCTGATAGAGGTCAAAACATCTTGGAAAAAATCTAAAATTTATTATCTACGACCTTTTTCGCCACAATGATTTTTAAAAAATTACAAGCGATTGAACATCATCACTAATCAAAAGTGAAATATTGATTTACCCATTTTATATGCACACACTCTCACTTACAAAATCCTTCTGGAACTGCAGAAATCGGGAACATAGTCATTACAAAAGTTCTAAGATTAAGAGAGAAGTGTCATATACATATCTACTGCTTCAATTATAACCTTGGATTTGTCTTTGACTTCAATTTTCAAAGTTATATGAAAATCAACTTTTTTACTACACTTCTCGCATAAATTAAAGGAACAAAAAAAATTTTTGGCAATTTTCAACAAGCTGTTTTTCAGTGAGAAATTGTCGTACAGGAAATAAAAAAATATAGCTTTTGAAACTTGAAGACTTTAGAATTTGATTTTTTTGGTTACAAATTTTTCGGAACACTTGTAGCCACGCAATTCTGGGATAAAGCACAAAAAAGAAATTTTCAAAAATCTTTACCATATTATTTTTCTTTACAGGCATGAAACAAATTTTTCGAGCTAGACCAATGCATAGGTCGCATAGCATGTTTATTCAGTTTCAATTTGCTTTTTGCGGGAGTCAGATACGTCTTTGAGATCGAATTTTGAATGCAAAAGGATCGTTTTTCACTCAACTGCCGATATCTCTGAAACTACTAGTCGCCCAGCAAACGGACAGGGGGTTTCGTTTTCTGCAGAAGACTTCATACAAAAATCTGGCATGGTTGATTGGAAAAAAACATTTTTTTTTTCGTTTTCAAGACAGACAAGATTTCTGATTCATTACTGATTTACCGCCAGCATTAGCGTTACCCAAAGCATACCATATAGAAGTTGCGCGGTCGAATTTACGCCTCTTTTGTGCTTACGCACGTATTTTAGATTATTCGGAAAAAATGAGACCCAGTGGTTTGTCAGTTTCCCAGTATTTAACGACTCCAAACTCATTTTCTAAAGTGTGTAATGTGTATGTGTTCAGTATCGAGTGTTCCCGCCTCTACTCCTAATTACAGCTTGCAACCTTTGTCGCATATTTGAAATGCAATTTCAGATCATCCGTTGAGGGATCTGACGCCAAACTCTTATCAGAGCGTTCTCTAATTCTGCTAAATTATTCAGATGGGGATAATTTTGACGCAATTGGCGGCTCAATATGTCCCAGACGTGCTCTATGAGATTCAGATCAGGACTCATTGCAGGATGCCTCAACAATCTAATGTTGTTCCTCTGAAAAAATTGATGGGTGATATTCGCTGTGTGAGGCCTAGTATTATCTTGCATTAAAATAAATCCTCTCCTGTTTCGTGCTAACGGTAACACGTGAGATTGTAAGATTCGATCGATGATCATCGACTGTGCCGGCGGCTATTACTACCTCCTCTTGTACTATAACCCGCACCGCTCCTTTCTTTCTTACTTGCCCGAATGTAATGAAACGGTGAATTCGCTTCTATTGGTACTACTATAGATTTATACATATATATCGGACGTTTGCTCTTAAAATACTTTTTGTTGTACAAACATTAATTGCTCGCTTTTCCTTTCCGCGAGCTGTATTGGTCTTTTCGAACAATGTTCTTAGTTTATCACAGCGTTATTAGTCCGAAAATACATTTCGAACCTTATCATAGCTACGATGCACTAAGCGAAGGTGAGGAGAGAACGTTAAAAAAATAAATAAATGAGAGCAGGCAAAAGTTGAGGAATCCCTAAACAAAAGGACAATGTACAATTAATCGCGTTAACTTCTATTGCGCTCAGCACTTAGCATAAAAATTGACGGTACTAATGGATACCGAAGAGCGACAGCATTAAGCACTTTCCAAGCTTTAATCTACTATCTCTCATTCTGTGGCCGTCGGTTAAAGTGAAATGCCAGAAGGAAACAAATGACCCAGCGCAAGCATTATAGCTCTGCGATGCTATCTCATCTGCACGACTACTTGCACCTAAAGGAACACTGACTCACTTCGTTCCCATAAACTTATGACAATAATTTTATTCTATACGATAAACGGAGTCGAGTTTCTGTTTTATGCTGATAAATATTAAATTAATTAAAATATTGGAGCTTATAAATTGCCAACAAAATGTTCCAGTAACTCTCGCTTAAATAATTTTAACGGAATCTAGTTTGAAAGCGTAACGTAAAAGAACGTTTAATTTTTGTTGTTGAAATATTATTAATTTTGCTTAATGCACGTGCACAAAATATGAAAACATGTTCTTCGTTTGTCAGACGAATTGGAAAAATGTTTGCCGGTTGAAAAAAAAAAATTCTTTACGCGTTTTACACTTGAGCGGAGAATTTCGCTCGTAGGTAACATTATCGGACTTGACATTTTTTTAATTTTATATTTTTTAGTTTTTTGCTTTAGCACGTATCGCCCTTCGACGAACCGACAGCTACACGATTGCTCAGGCTCGCAGGAAATTTACGAGCATGACGTAATTTCCGTAGCAGTAGTACCTACACATAGTCTCGCGAGTGAGCGCTTTTTACGAGACAGTCCGCGAAGCGCGCGTCCAACAAGAAAGTTCTGAGCGTTTATCACGCTACCCGATGCATCCTGTGGCAAGTTCTTTGGGCTCGGCAATTTATGGAACATCGACCTCTCGAGAGCTTTTTAATATTGGCCTTTTTATAGCTGTATATACTATACGCGACGCGCGATAAATATTTTCTCTACTTTTGAAGACACTAAAATGATGCTAAGGCTGTACTAAAAATCGCAGTACCGATTCATTACTTCTTGTACTTTAAAAACGGACATTTTTCATTGTAAGCATCCAACAAATCATGAAAATAACTCACGTACAGCGAGAAATGTCATGGATATTTAAATATCCAGAAATTGACAGTCTTTATTGACTCGAATTATAATAAATTTAGGAAATACATATTATTTATAATAATAGCAAGTCGCCTGGGTATATTTATAGAAATTAATACGTGTACATAATTTAACGTAAGGCATTTAATATTAACAGTCAATCACTAAAGCAGTACGAGAATCCCGTAAGATTGCAGCCCAAACCATCACTGATCCTCCACCGTAAGCAGCTATGGGACGAATAAAACGCTGTTGATAACGTTGACCTGTACGACTCGACAAGCTCGAAGTCTTCGGTGGTTACCATGTAAGCAAAACCGAGACTCGTCAGAAAAAAAAACGCTGTTCTAATTTCTCATTGACCAGTTTACATGGTTGTTAGCGTACTGCAGATGAGCTCTACGATGTGCAACTGTCAACATCATTCCACGGGCAGTAGTTCGAGCACGGAGTCCAGATTCGTGAAGACGATTTTTTATCGTCGATCGAGAAATGTTTTGTAATGTCCGATAATTAATAGTATCATTTTATTTTATTTTTTTTATTTTTTTTATTTTTTTTTATTTCTTTTTGTATTACGACGTCAATGCATCAAACTGCACAATTTTGAGAAGCAAAAATAAGTTGGAAAGTTTCTTTTCTCAAGGTTTCTTCAAATTCCAAGAGAAGACAAGCTGACCAAATAGTTTGCGATTAGAAAATAGGTATAAAAAATTTTACGACTTTGTTATGTGCGTCCATATGCTTAGGATGTCCTTGTACAAATAGCATGGTCTGCCGACGTCCAAACCCTATATGGAATGCAGAAAAAAAAAGAGAAAGCTCCTCTTATGCGTTTTCCACCGAGTTTTCATTTTCCGTTTAGCTTAGTCATCAAAAGTTAGAAAATTATTTCATTCAATTGAGTAGTTTGTGCAGTTAGATAAATTAAGTCATACGATTTACCATTTAAGCTACGTTTTATTTAAGCTCCATTTTATATTTAAAGATGTAAATAAATAACATTTGAGAATTAAATATAATTCTCAGATTGTTATTTATATATAATATATATAATGACTTATAATAGATAATACTTAATATGTTAAGTCCTTGCACGTTATAATTTTATAATAGTACTTTTATACGCGATTCGGCATGAGTAACTCCATCTGTCTTAAAGTAACTGTATGTTTCCCTATTGCAGGAAAATTTCCGCCAATCAGTTTTGAAGTTGCCATTCCCAAATCCTTCAGAGCCCCTTGCGGCCTTATCTTGAAAAAGAGCGCATCCTGAGAGAATGTGCTAAGTAAGGCGCGAACTGTTCGCCACTGCTACGCCATCCGCAGCAAGAAGAGCCACGCTCAAAGGATACACTCTCTCTCAAGAAGCCCAAGGATTCTATTTTGGAAAATTAACAAGGTTCACAATTATCTTTCAAAGGACTCTACAAAAAAAATATATAAATTAAGTTTTATTTCAAATATAAATTTTTTTTACATTTCTTCACCTTTCATAATCTATTTTTCCTAATTCTGTATCGCTCGGTCCTCTCGTTGAAAAACGAGTTTGATAGACTTGATACAATAGTTTAACGCTCAGAACTTGGATCATTAGGATCTTTATAGGTCTGAGTGGAATCTATAATTGATAGTTCTCTGTGCCTTCTGAAAAGATTGGCGCTAGAATAATCTATTTAGATTCAGGGATTAGAAAAACATCCGCACCGTGCGCATCAAACTTTTCGGTATTTGTAACCAAACCAATTTTTCCTTACCCGGGTAAAGAGAAATCAC